ATACTCAAAGAGAGTGAATGCCTTGGGCATCTGAACTGCATAGCTCTCCTGTAGCTCATGTCTACATTTCAAAACTAGATAACAATGACTTTATTAATGCAAACAAAATCTGACCATTTTGCATTTACAGTACCCTTCTAGTTGTAGAATAGTGTCATAATTGATAAATCCTTTGCATTCCATCTTGGCTCTGGGGGCACATGTTATTCTTTCACACATGTGCAGAAAAATATTAAACAGCTCTTTTTCACTGTGTATGAATGAAATGTAATGATGTATTCTAAAAGAGTAAGAGACTTTGACTGAAATTCCCATCTAGAATGCAAAAAGAGAGAGTTTTGGATGTCTCCACCTTACCTCTAATTGATTCACCTTCAAGTCATCCCATAAGACCATTCCAGAGCAGGTCGATGCTCTTGGAGAGAGGAGAGACAAGACCCAACCAGCCTACATGTGACTTTTGTCTCCTAAGAATCTCACAAACCATGCAAACCATGCACTTACTCTTGAATATTTCTAAATAATTGAATATTTGTAAATACGTTACAATTAGTCTAGCTATAGTAATGTCTACATGAGGAAGCATAACTATTCCATAAAAAGGTGAACTGAAGCAGAGCACATTCCCTGTAAAACAGATCAACCTTGGAGATACATAAAACAGACAACTGACTGGAAGAATGTTGCCTGAGCTCTACAGCAAAGATATCACCAAGAAATGTTCCATCTAGTCATGAGGGCAGGCTTTTCTAGAAGGACTAGGCTGTATTAACTCTTTAGAGCTCATAGGTAAAACTTGCAATCACATTTTATATATTGGCAAAAGATAATTAAGACTAACAAAAACCTTTCTTACTCTTAGTGAACATGTAAGGCACAGATGTAAATCATCCCTGATCACCGCTATTGGATGTAAAGTATTGCAAGCTTCCTCAGCCTAATTTCTGAAGGAGTAACTCATTAAGTTGTTCTGCTGAAAAACTCAGGTAGAATTCCTAGTGTACTAACAGAAAGAGAGAAAAAAGTACAAGTAAATGGAGATCTTTCAGTGGTCAAGAGCAAATTTCCACCAAGGAACCTTGGGGAGTGGCCATAATCCCTCAGGCGGCCTCAGTTTCTGTTGGCTCACAGACACCCAGAGATGTCTCCAGAAAGGAATCCAGTGGTTTATCTGGTCAACATTCCATAAGCCATAGGCCTCAATGGGGATTCACCAAAGAACAACTGGGGAAACCTGTCCTCTGCTTAAAAAAGTGGAGCTGCTCTAGGAGCATTTACTAGCTGGCAGAGTCACTACTGTTTATCCAAGTTCTATAACGGATAGTAAAAATAATGAATAAGATCACTTAGCATTCAATAGTAAAGGTTTCAAAGTCTACAATTTATCTCTTACACACTTAAATGATATCTAGACCTAGGACAAAGGGTTGGAAATCCTCCCTTACACTAAACATGTTTTGGTCCCATAAGTATGCTGCATTTGGAGATAGCTCCTTCTGGTGTCACCCAGAAGTTGGTCCTTTCCACTGTGGCTCAGGTTTAGCTTCCCAGAGGATACCTGCCCAGAACATGGCTTTTATAAGTGTCTTCCTGAAAGGGCATAATTCCTCTTTGCCTCATGTGATCCAGAAATGGGCTATATGTCCCTTTTAAAATGACTTCCCTGTCTTTGGTGTTAACAAATGCTCATTATCTAAGGGCTTCACTTAGTTGGAACAGTCTATAGAGATTTCCTAATTTCACATGCCTCTGAAAAGGAAAGTATAGAGAGGTGGGAAAATTAGGAATAAGGTTCAAAGCAAGGAAACTGAAACAGAGCAGGCCTGACATTTGCCCTATCATGTAGAGGGGGATCAAGGTAGTCCATCCCAGTGAAACCTGGCCTCCAAGGCTTTAAGAAAGGTTGCCGACCATATGTCATGTATTTGGCAAAAGGAGTCCTGTGTTTCATATACAGGCATGTATATTTTCTATGTCCAAGCTAGATTCAAATGTCCCATTTTGCATAAGTTTACATGGAGTTCACTAGGAGGCTTTATAGCTTTACTCTCTCCAGCGATATTGTCCAAAGTCAAGCAAGGAATGTCAGTACATTTAGTAACTCATTCAAATGCAACATATACAAGTACAAAACAGTCATAAAATGTCCCATTAGGGAAATACCACAACCTTATAGCATTTCCATGTTTTAACTTAGATTTACCAACAACATTTTGACCACCATTTTAACAAAACCATGTAAGAGACAAAGCATAAGAAACTGTAATCAATTTTAACAGAAGTATATGACATAAAACTGTATGAGACAAAGCATGAATGATTATGAGCAATGAGCAAGTACATATCAACATTTGAAGAATAAAAATTAGTTACCTAAGCAAGTCCCAATCCAGAATCCATGAAATAAAAACAAACTTATACCTCCATCCAGTGATCTCGGTGGAACCTCCAAAATGGTACAGGGAAACTCCCACTGACACAGGGAGAAAAGCTGATCTCCCAAATAAAAGATATCTGGGATGATTTCATGTCCTTTAAAACCAAAGACTAAATTTTAGGAACAAATGGAGGTCATAAGCAGAATATATTTATTGAGGGAAAGAAAGTTCCTGTGTGACAGAAAGACAGGAGGGGGGCCTGAGCAGGTTGTCCCCAGGAAGTTGTTTCTTCCAGGAACTTTTAGAGACGAAAACCATGTGTGAGGCTGGTCTAAAGTGGTGAAGAAGATATGAGAACTCACTTAGGTGGGCATGAGGTGTGACAAATCTATGGTCAGCCAATGAGATAACAAGCACCATTGCTCAGGTAAATTTGATTAAATCCAGTACCAAATGGGGAAGTGAGTCACGTAGCAAGCAGGCATGAATATAAGACAGGTCTCTTCCTGTTGGGGATTGGGCTAGGGATTCATTTGGGCTCTTTCAAGGTGATTGATTCCTATTTAGAATATCAATCCCTGGCTGAGGAGATAGCTTGGTGGTCTAAGTGCATGCCTAGAATATCAATCCCTGATGCCCATCTCTAGGGAAGTATGTACCTGTGTTTCCTCTTTTCTCTTGAGGTCCGGCCCATGTGGAAGTGTCTGTCTCTTCCAAGTTGCAAAGTCACCTTGTCTTCCAGCTTGTGTCCTTGAAGGCCTGTCCTTGTCTGACTGCCTATAATATTTCTATCTACTTCAGGTGCCTACAGCAGTATCTTTGCAAATGCACTTTAATTATTTCTTTTATTCTCTTTTCTCACACAAGTTAGACCTGCCTGGAACTTTTCCATAAGTACATTGATCTTGCAGAATATCCCAGCTCCTACCCTCTCTATCTTCTTCCTCTCTTTGATCTCCTTCCCTTTCATTTCTTTTTTATTAAGGTTCTGAAACTTATCATTTTACTTTTTCTATGACATTTCATATTCACCCTACAAAGTATTGGAAATTAGCAGAAGAGCCCCTTAAGGAAATTCCTTCCATGGATTGCTCTTGGGTTTTTTTTCTCCATTTTTTTTATTAATTTTTTTGAGAAATAAATAGCAATAAGAAAGTTTTGGGGGCCTGCCCCATAATTCTTTAAGTGGCTGCTTCAACAAAGCAGTCAGGCTCAGGTTGCTGTTTTTCGATCCCCACAACTCAAGCCAGCCAAACCTGCCCTGAAGGCATGAGATTTCAAAGAACCAATGTCAAAAAGCAGTCAGGCTCAGGTTGCTGTGGTTCGACCCCCACAACTCAAGCCAGCCAAACCTGCCCTGAAGGCATGCGAAAAAAAAAAAAAAAAAAGAAAGTTTCAAAATCAAGTAGTAGGACAGTTTCAATAATTAATATATGGCAATGCTCTTGCTTTTAATCTGTCAGCTGCATTTTGCTTTCCAGGTGACAGACACAATCATACCTGTCTTGATGATTTAGAAATATTGTAGGCAGTTAGATAGGCAGTTGGATAGGCAGTTGTAGGCCCTAGACTGCTTGAAGACCCCTGTGGCTAGAGACACATTCTCTTGCAGTCACACTGGAAGAAAAAGTGGAAGGGCCACACCCACCTATACCCCAACGGATGAATAGCAGGGATTGATATCCTAAATCAACTTAGGTAGAGGACCAAAACCTTATTACTTGATCTCTTCCAGGGAGTTTCTTTTCTTTTTTTTTTTTTTTTTTTTTCTTTTTTTTTTTTTTTTAATTTTAGTACAGGGACTACACTGTCTCATGATACAGATCTGACTCATAGAAATCCTCTTGTTTTCAGGCTCTCAACCACTGGTATTACAGGCAAATGCCTCCACAGTCAGTCTCAGTCTCATCTCAGTAGGCCGTACATCAGGGCCTGCAAGGCAGCCCTGGGATCCAACACAGTCCCTGGACCTACCTAAGTAAGCACTTTAATCCCTTGAGCTATCTGGCCCTCTTACAACATTCATGCTCTTCCAATGTAGACTTGCTATATGGCTTGCTTTCCCGTTTGATCCCCCCAAATTTACTCAGCATTACCTAAGCAACCAGTAAGCATTTTTTTAATCAGAGAAAAAAACAAACACAATGATACAGAATTTCAAACAACATAGTTGGAAATTAACAATGGCTAATACATTGCATGTTGTAATCTTCAAAGTAGTTGTTCAAATCACAAGATATACATATACAAAATTGAACAAAGATTATAAGAATAAAACACTCTTTCCTATGAATTGAAATTACTAATGTAATTATGTTAGCTATGCTGTACTTTTGCTTTTGATACTGGGAATTGAACTCAAAAATTTACACTTCAAGGCAGGTGTGGTACTGCTGAGCTATGTCCCGGACCCCTACCTATCTTCTGTGTGTGTGTGTGTGTGTGTGTGTGTGTGTGTGTGTCTATGCGTGTTTGTATTGTTTCCTTCTTTTTCTTTTTTTCCTATTCCAGATATTCTTATTTTTCTTTTTCTTTTTTTCTTTTTGTGGCAGAACCAGGGATTGAACTGAGAACCTTGCGCTTGCCAAAGAAGCGCTTATTCTAGTGAGCCAGCTCCCCACCCTCAACAGAAATTCTTTTCTTTAGAGCACTTTCTTTTCCTTTCACAGCACTATTTTATGCATTTGGAACTTGATTTGTACAATCAATTTCATCCATGATGGAGACAATATGATCTTTACACATGCAACTCTAATTTATTTCACTTCTAAGTATGGTGTCTAGGGCCAGAGTCCACCTGGATACCCCAAGGTCCTGAGTCTGATACCCAGTACCATGAAAAAAAAAAGTATGGTGTCTAGTGATGCCATTTACCTATGTAAACCTAGAGATTGTGTTTCTTTGTACATAAGTAGTACTTCATTGAATAAAAACAATTCTAGATAGAAGTCACTTGTCTGAAAGACTGTTGACTAAGAATTTTCCCCAAATTTCTGTGGATTTTGTTTACTCTTTTGGTAAATTGTTTTGATGAGCAAAATATTTTCAATCACAGAACAGTCCAATATTTGATTGTTTGAACTATTTGTTCTAGAGTTGGTTTTTGTTCATGAATTCTCAGGCCTATCCAAGTCTTCAAGAAATCTATCTACTTTCCTTCCTCAAGATTTAATATCTCCTGTTACCTCCAATTCTTATTTCATGTCTCATTTGAAAAACCTCTATCTCCCTGTTCTCTTTGGCTGTCTCCCCTAGATGACAAAGAAATATCATGGCAGAAGTGACCTTTCTGTACCTCTCAGGGCTCATGCTGTAGATAGAACATTCCTAGGCACTGTCTTCAGTACACAGGAAGCTGGGTGCACACTCTGCCTCATTATTCTCATTGGCAGAGGAGACTGTCAAGATTGGGCACAGTAGTCAGTAGTGCTCTTTCTTAAGATGAATCAGTCATTTGCTTTGGAGTATGGGAATCAATGGAATAACCTTCTCCCTTGAGGGGATGAGACATTGGGAAGAAAATGGCACCACAGAATTTGTACAGGCTGCAGTGAGTGAACATGTACACAGGAATGGCCTGGAAAGCAGGCAAATCAGATAAAATGGGGCAGACACCTCAAAAGGACAATATGCACACCTTGGCCACAGGCATAGCAGGGAAGAGGCCAAGGCTGTAAAAAAGTTCAAGGGTTTGGCCCATGGAGTGTCACAGGCTCTGAACATCCCCAAGACTCAGAAATAAGAAACCCGCACCAGAAAAGGAACAGTGAGAGAACTTATACATGAGAAATCCATGGTGTACCACATTGTAGAATGCAGAGTATGAGGCTCAGAGTCTAAAAAATCTCCAGCAGGAGCTAGAGGAACAGCCAGGGAAAATGCCAAAGTCCAAGGATCAGAGCTGTCGCATACCACAGATGCATTGTACTTAAATTTCTCCTCCAGCCGTCAGACCCAGCAGGCACATTTAAGTGGATAACTTGAAACACTGAAGTTTAAGGGGAATTTTAGGTATGTTCCATCACCTGATTTCAATGGCCATTCATTCAGAAAGGCACTTTTAAATGCATATCTAGGAATTTTTGAAGCTCCAATACCTGATTCGGAAGACCATTTGCAGTAACAGGAACACTGTAATTTTTGCTTGCAGAACGTTTCACAGGAGCTGTGGAAAAATTACAAGAGGGTGAGGGACATGTGAAACACCATGTGTGATATTTCCAGAGGATTCTGGGAAGACCTTATTGAAATAGGACTGGGAGGAACTTCTTTGAAGAGTCTTAGGGAGAGGAGTGCCTTTGCAGCAACAAATGTTGGGGCGGGGGAGATAGCTCAGTTCAGTAAAAGGTTGCCTGGCAAGTGCAAGATACTGAGTTTGATCCCTGTTACCACCAAAAAAAAAAAAAAAAAAGAAAAAAGAAAAAGAAAAGAAATAAAGAAATGGTGCATGTGTGAGGGAAGGAGAAGCTAGACCTCAAAACAGGAGAAATAAGGTATTAAATATATGGAAGAGAGAGAGGCTTATGAAACTAATTTTTTCATTAACCCAGTAGTATTGGGCAGCCATTAAGTTTAAAGGTCAAAAACTCATCATATTAAATACAGTCAAAGGAATCACTCCAACATCCATTTCTTCTCTAGTCTTGGGAAGGCAAAGGAAGTGTGATTGACCAGTGAATTGGTGAATAGAGATGAGTGGTTGCTCCCCAACAATACAATCACAGCCCCAGCAGATACTCATTTTCCCTCCTCTCCTCCATCCACAGCAGACTTTGCTCTCTCTTCCCCAGTAGCCTCCTGCCTTCTCCACCATCTCCAGCCACACTCTTCACCTCACTTTGTTCAGTACACCCTCCTCCTATTTGTCTGCTTTAAGTGACTGAACACAGTCCTGTTGTATACTAGGTCAGTGCTTCTCAAAGGAGCATATTTCCAGCTCTCTGAAACCTGACTTTGAGCCAGTCTCCATAATTTACTAAGCTGCTGAGGCTGAAATTCAGCTTGCAGACTTTCTGACTCAGGCTCCAGAGTAGCTTCAGTTCCAGGCAGGCATGGATCATCCCACCTCCTATGCTCTACTTACCTTGATGCAATTGGAGAATCCCTTTCAGATCAGGAGCTTGGAACACCATCTTCTGTCGCTTGGGGCAAGTTCTTGGTTTCTGCACAGTGAATAACTTACTCCTAGGGAGGAAAAAAGTGAACTCCACATTTCACAGTTGTGTGTTTCCTTTTTTTAGTAATTTTATTGAGAAAAAAATTGCAATGAGGCAGTTTCAAAACAGATTGGTAGGTGAGTTACAATAATTAATACATTGCATATTGTTGTCTTTGTAACTGTCATTCATAGCTCAAGATGCAGACATGCCATCCTGTCCAAACACTATTAGTACATCTCTATTCTTATTGAATTAAGTGTCTATATATCTATCCTCACTATTCAGTGTATACAGATATAAAATTGTTCATCATTTATATCTCCTTTTTTTGTTTAGTTTTGTCAGAGATGGGTATTAGTTGTGTCTTTCAGACACCACCCACATCTACTATTCCATCTCATTTTTATATTCCAACTCATCTCCCTAGAGATCTAGGGAAGGGACAAATGGAACCTTTAATCCAGAAGTCATGAGAGACATATCTACTTTCTCAAAGATTTGGGGGATCTTTGGAGGATCTTAACTGGTCAGAAGCAGAGTTTTCCATGGTGAAGTATTTTAAAAGAACCCATGACACTCACCTACAATCAAAACATTATAATATGTGGAAGAGTTCCTGCCATGAGTGCAGAGCATGAGAATGGGGTCAGCCAGTGCATTTGCAGCATCCAGCTCTGAAGTTCTGGGCTTATCAGGGTAGAAGGGGAACCACCTGGAGGAGCCCAAGAAGTTCACAGGCCAATGTCTATAGAAATGTCCTCAAATACTACCTGATGTTTCAAGATTTAGTTTTTCTCTGGCAAAAATAACAAATAGTTATCAAAGGAACACCAAACTCATACTGCTGTGAATCTCAGGAGTTTGGAAAAGCTCTATGCTGCCAACAGGCATGCTACTGTACACAGCAGGATGAGGCCTTTCCCAGTGACTCTGAACAGTCGTTGAGCTGTATCAACTGTTTACACTGGGGCAAAATCATGTTCAGTGGGCTCAAATGTGATTTGATGCAAGATGTCTATTGTTTCCAGTGCAAAAATATAAATTGCTATATTCAGGGTTTATTGCAGTGGACAATTTCTGCTACTTGGTAAGAACATGTGTTCCATCTACAATAAAGTAAGCTCCTTTTGAATCCAAATGTTAGAGCTAGGTGGAGGTTTCCTCTGAATAACATGGGGAGGCTCAGCTCCACATCCTTAATTCTACCAGTTTTCTGGCAGAGACTCCAGACAACACCAGTGCCTCCCAGACCATTTAGGTTCTGCTGCTCTATTTTCAGTAGTACTAAAATAACCCAAACCTGAGCAGTGACAAGGAGTGTATATAACACTATTGTCTCACACACAAATGTCAATCCTTGGCATCACACACATACCTTTCCATGGTGTCCTTCACACCCTGAAGAGAGAAGAAGCAAATGTGAGTGAATAAGTACCGGACTTTTCTTGCTTACAAAGCTCTCTCATTATCCCTGCCCCCACAGCACACTGAGCCAGACCCAGAGTCCAGGAAAACATAGTGCGTACACTTGTAATCCCAAAACTGGGCAGGCTAAAAACAGGAGGAGTCCTATGACTCAGATCTGCGTAGTGAGACCCTGTAACAACCAAATACATTAAAAAAAAGTTCTATCATTTTCAGGGGCTGGGGAGATGGCTCAATGGAATAAGCACTTCCCTGGCAAGCGCAAGGGCCTGAGTTCAATCCCTGGTTCTGAAAAAAAAAAAAAAAAAGTCCTATCATTTTCAGAAGCCCTAATATGATGAGAATGGAGATAAGACTCAATCTTCCTATCCCATTCTACCAGTGGTATTATTCAAATAATAGAAGATTGTCTCACTTATTTCACAGAGGTCTACTATGATTCACCTTTACTTCTGAGGTATGAAGAAGCCTTGTTGCATCAAAGAAACATAATGTGTCCAGAAAAGGCATGCATGGTTTTTGCTGAAGTGACAAGAAGCCAGTATTTTAACAAGTACTGCTTCTCATTTCATATGTCAACTAATTCTATTCATACTAAGCTTTTTTAGATAAATGGAGTTTAATTCATTTAATTTCATGAATCTGTGAAGATAAAAGAATGTGCAAAATTCAATATCAAACACCACACCTTCTATTTAAAATTGGTAAGTCACTCTGAATGTCAGGCTCCATACGCCCTGCTTACCCCGTATCCTTCATGCTTTTTAGCTACTTATTCATTATTGTTCATATAGTTTTGTTCATATAGCAGAGAAATATGATAATGCACTCAGTATTCTTCACTTCAGAATTCCTTCTCCATATAAAACTTACCAGCAGAAAGTAAGGCAAGAGCTGTGTCCACATACACAAACACATACAGAACTTTGTATTTTATAATACACACATATTTCAAAAAATATAAACCAAAGTAATTATGTTCAGATGTACAAAAATTCTGTCATAGGAAGTTATAGGTACAGAAACTGATTTTTGAATCTCACAGTTATGTTTAGGATGGACTTCACATCTTCCAATTCACGTTTTCCAAATGAAAGAAATATCACTCTCCTGAGACAATCTCTGCAAAAATAAAATCTTTTCCTATAAGTTTTACCAAAAGGGATCCAGCTTGTATGCTGTCTGCTCGGTTAGCTCCGAGAACCACCTGAAATCCATCTGTGTTGTTGCTCCAAACACAGGAACTTGACAGAATCACTAAGCAAGGATTAAGTGCCACATACTGCTGGATGTGCTAAAGATGCACAAGTAGCCGCAGAAGAGGTGCACAGCACCCCTCACATGACATGCAGCCAGCCTGAAAATGGCAGAAACTCACAAAGGACTCCCCTGCCCTTGTGTCCTCCAGGTGGATGGAAGAAAACCTACTCTGAATGAGGTACAGCCTCTGTATGGGGAGTGGTCAGCTAGAGATACGCTGACAGTCAATAGAAATGTAGCATGCCACCCTAAAAAATGGGAATTTTTTTTGTCTCTAAACTCAGCAGAAAGCCAGGAAGATGGCTCAGTAGAACAAGTGCTTCCTTGGCAAGCGCAAGGGTCTGAGTTTAATCCCTGGTTCCAAAAAAAAAAAAAAAAAAGAGGCAGTTCATTCTTT